CTCTCTCTCTCTCTCTCTCTCTCTCTCTCTCTCTCTCTCTCTCTCTCTCACACACACACACACACACACACACACACACACACACACACAGGGCATGGCCGTTTCTTTGCATTCTTTGTATTTTTAATCCAAATAAATATTTTTACTTTTTGCAAGTTCTTTGACTTATGCATTCACAGGTAGGGCTTTCCCAATGCATGGATTGTGGAATCTTGACATCTCTCTGTCTCCCTTCTGGCACTTTGTTGTGTATTAATGAATCACATCCTTTGAGTACTGGGTTATAAGTCTCTTCTTTCTAGGTCACACTGCAGTCGCTGTACCCTGTCACAATCATGTGGCGTGTGTGTTCTCCCCCGTGCTTTGAAATGTAGCACTTTTGTGTGTGAGAGAGCTGTTAAATTAGTATTAGCCATCAGATCAATTTAGAGTAGAGATCTAACATGTGTTTGTATTATTTAAGCAAAGAATGCTACCTGCTTTAATCAGACATACCGTCAAATCTCAGTTGTTTAATGCAGAAGAGGCTTAATGCTTGCTCCTCCAAAGTCCTTCAAAGGAGTCTGTGCCCAACTGATGGCTTTCTGTGTGGGTTTTGGGGATGTCATGTAAGTCCTGTATTTCTACCCTCTGAGATATTTTTATAATTTTCTATAATTTTTTATAATTTTTATTTTATGTACATTAGAGTTTTGCCTGCATGTTTGTCTGTGTGAGAAACCCTGGAATGGAGTTACAGACAGATGTGAGCTGCCATGTGGGTGCTGGGAATTGAACTTGGGTCCTTTGGAAGGGCAGTCAGTGCTCTTCAGAGCCATCCCCCCTGCCCCCTAGATTGTTTTCTATTCAGCTTTTAGAAAAGGAAAGAGGCAGAAAATATAGAAGATCATGAAGTTTTTTGTTTGCTTGCTTGAGACAGGGTTTCTCTGTATAACTTTGGAGTTTGTCCTGGAACTCACTCTGTAGACCAGGCTGACCTCGCACTCACACCTGCCTGTCTCTGCCTTCCAACTGATAAGATTAAAGGCATGTACCACCACCACCCAAATTATGAAATTTTTAAAGGACCCAATATAGACTGGACTACATTATATTTGCCCTTATTCCATTGGCCAAAACTCAGTCACGTGGTTCTATCAAACAGAGGAAGACTTGCTGTAAACTCATTGTGTAACTAGGAGGAAGGAGAGACAGAACTGGTAAGCAGCCAGCAAGTCTCTGCTGCAATAGTTTAGTGACCATAGTCCCAGAAAACACAGAACTTGCTGAGAGTCCCACTCTTTGCTTTAGTATAGTTCTCTGGTAGCCTGTTATAGCTCCTCTCCATTCTCCAACTGTGGTGACCTTAAGACTGTCCCTTTATTATGATATTTCTGAAGACGCACTCTGTGATACTTTGAGGACCAGATAAAGTACTGGGGTGCCTCAGAAGGCTGCATGGTAGTCGTCTGTGTCTCTCCAACGCCTCATATTTTCACGTTTTTCATAATTTGCTTGTCTTGCTGATCTAGTATTTCCTATTAATCCTTCTTCATACTGGAGTCACCAGCTGGGCAGTGGCGTTCGTGCTGGGATTTAACCTTCACATCCTATGACAGCTCAGTCTGCTTCCTGGACCCCAAGCCCAGTCAGGGAAGTGGATCTCCAGTGCTGTCTACTTCAGACTCGGACTGGGAACTACTTCCTGGAGCTAGAGCAGGCCCACAAGGGCCCTTTGCTCAGGAAGTCTTAGCTCATTACGACTCTGGGCTCAGCCCCCTGAGGCCCACACCTAACTCTCATACCTTAGCATCTCATTATTCTTCCTGACTCATGGTGTCCCTGAGTAGAATAAAAAAAAAATTCTTAGTGATGGAGGCAGAAGAGGGGGAGGAAAAGAGATAAACACACAGATCTACATATGCCTGTGGTGGGGGAATCATTCTTTTAAAAATGTCTTGAATACTGCGCAAATTGTCTAAGACAAATTCTTCTTTCTTTCTTATCCACATCAGCTTTTCCTATCTTTGGAGACAGAAGAATGACAGGGTAAAGGACAGGGAAGGGAGGAAGATTCTGAAACCGTGCCTAGGGTAGGGGGTGTTGGCATGGTTGGGGAGCAGACAGTGGACGCATCCTTTGTTGACCAGTGAAGGAGTGGAGACTGTTACCGGAAGTCAAGCGGTGCACAGACAGGAAGGCGATTCGGGTTCTGAGAGCAGTGAGTACGTTTCCTTCTCACCTCTTCTAAGTGTGCTCACACGGGAGTTTGCAACCGCCTCTTGTGGCACACATTGTGCCTCTGCGACTAAAATGTCTTTTCTTTCAGATACTTGCACTTGCCTCCCATTCTCTGCTCTTTGCAGAATCCCAGCTTTATTTGGAACATTAATTTATACATTGCAGCTTCCTTTGGGGCTAGAGGCTACGTAACATAGTTCTGGATTACTTCCTAGAGAGTTTTAGAAAATTTTGCCTTTCTGATAAAAGTTCCACCATGTCTTCTCTGGTGCTTTCCCTCCCTCCCTCCCTCCCTCCCTCCCTCCCTCCCTCCTTCCCTTTTCTTCTGTTCTTCCTCCTTTCTTCCTTCCCTCCCTTTCCTTCCTTCCTTCCTTCCTTCTTTCCTTCCTTCCTTCCTTCTTTCCTTCCTTCCTTCCTTCCTTCCTTCCTTCCTTCCTTCCTTCCTTCCTTCCTCCCTTTCCTCCTTCCTTCTTTCATTTCTTCCTTTCTTTTTTCTTTTCTTTCTATTTATTATAAAAGATGTTGGACTGGAGCTGAGTCAATCATCTTGTGACTGTGAATTGTGGTGCAATCCTAAGACTGAGAACTACATGCAAAAGATGAAGTTAATAACATATATTCATGTAAACAATCATAATTAGACTCAGTATTATATATACACCATGCACACACAAAAATACAAATGCACACACATACAAACGTATATACCAACATACAACACATATAAACATCAAAACCACACACATACACATAAACACAGTCACATGTAAATACACACATACATACAAACTTACACACAAATACACACATGCATACACACATATGCATGTGCACACACACACACACATCAAAGTGGGAAAGGATTTAGTGGGAAGAAGATGAATTTTAGTGGAAAAAGGAAGAAAATGAGAGAAGTCACTATGTACAAATACATACATGCATGAAATTGCCAAAGTACAAAAAGGTTCGATTAAAACTGTGTAAAAGGAGGGGCTTGAGAAATTGCTCAGTGGTTAAGAGAAGTTTCTGCTCCTACAGAAAGCTGGAGTTCAGTTCTCAGCACCAGGTGGCTCACCATCTTCTGTAACCCCATCTCCAGAAGATCTGACACCCCTCTGACCTCTGTAGGCTCCTGTATGCATGAACAAATATAAATATGGAATAAATAAAATTTTAAAGTTAAAGAAAGAGAAAGATTTGATGGTGCTGTAAAGTCATTATAGTCTCCATTTTTTTGTGGTATTTTGAATAAGAAAAACCTCCAGTGTTTGAATGCCTGGCCCATAGGGAGTGGCACTATTAGGAGCTATGGCCTTGTTGGAGAAAATGTATCACTATGGGGGCAGGCTCTGAGCTCAGATGCTCAAACTTGGCCTAGTGTGTCATTCACTTCTGCTGCCTACAGACCAAGATGTAAAACTCTCAGCTCCTTCTCCAGCAACATGCCTGCCTACATGCCACCATGCTTTCCACCATGATAATAAGGGACTGGATCTCTGAACTGTGAAGTCCCAACTAAATGTTTTCCTTTATAAGAGTTGCCGTGGTCATGGTGTCTTTTTACAGCGATAGAAACCCTAACTAAGACAGAGAACAATAAGTAACTTTATGCTAGTTACTGAGACGGCTATTGCATACAAAGCTAGTTCCCATCTCATAGACTTTCAGGAACCAACCCCATAAAGCAGCATCTACTCAGTGATCATCGATTGGTCCCCTTCCTCCCTGATATTACTAATATGTTTTGCATCTTCTAATCCTGCTGCAACATGCTAGCCCACATTTAATGGCTTAAAGCGAGTCTTTGTTTTCTAGATTTACAAATCTAAACTAGCTCATTGGGGGCTGTGCAGCCTGGGGAGCCTTCAGGGGAACCCATCTCTTTGACTTTTCTAGAGGCTTCTCACGTGCTTTGTGTGTGACTCCACACCGAAACAAACAGCTCTGTTCTGCTTTTTTCTCTTTCCGGACACTGACTTACCCTGTTTTCCTGTTCTGACTTCCCCTTCAGGTACTGTGAGTACACTGGAATGAATAATCCAGGTGATCCTTCAGTCAGAAGAGACTGAATCACATTTACACAGCCCTCTTTGCCATGGAAGATACATAGTCACAGATTCTGGGCGTGAAGGCATGGATGCCTTTGGGTAACCACTATTCTACCAACTGAACATTCCCGATAGTGCCAAGCCTTTTCTTTTGGACCACCAACCAGCTCCAAATTATGACTCAGAGAGTTAGTAGTTTTGAATGCTCAGTCTAAGTTAGCTCTTTCCTGGCTAGATTTTAAACTTATATTAATCTGTTTTTTCTTTATCTACCTTTTGCCTTGGGGATTTTTACATTTTTCTGTGTCTCAGCTGGCTGGCGGCTGCCTGACTTCTTCCTTGTTCTCTCTTCTCTTCTCCTTCTTCTCTTGTTCTCCCTCTTCTTAAGCCTGGATCTCTCCTGTTTATTCCCTCTGCCTGGCAGTTGTGTCTATCCTTTCTCTGCCTAACTGTTGGCCATTCAGCTCTTTATTAGACCAATCAGGTGCCTTAGGCAGGCAAGGTGAAACAGAGGCAACACACGTTTACATAATTAAACAAATGCCTTGAACTCACAGAGATCTATGTGGTCTACAGAATGTGTTCCAGGACAAGCTCCAAAGCTACACAGAGAAACCCTGTCTCAAAAACAAAACAAAACAAAATAAAACAAAACAAAACAAAACAAAAAAACAGCAAACAAACACCAAATAAATAAATA